TAGCTTAAACCTGACTTGTCTTGTTGCCGAGAGTCTTTGATTTGACTCGAGGTAAGTTGAGACTGGAGTTGAGCTCGGGGAGAAGCCGTAGTAGTAGTAGAACAAGCACAAGTAAGGTAGTGGTAGTTAATCGTAGCCAAGCCAAGGCCCAAGTCAAGGTAAAGTAAAAGCAAGGTCATGTAAGGTACAGGTAGGCGTATGGATAGCGGTAGAGGTACCTTCATGTGAGGTAATGGAGACAAGGTTGGGTTGGACCTTGGGGCAAGGGGAAAGAATAGCCTGGTGGATGGTGGACTGTGAACTGTGGGACATGGAAGCAGCTGCTGCTCACTCAGGCTGTGAGCGGGACGACTCCTCTAAAAAAGACAAGGTACGTACTCGTAAGGTAGGTAAGGTGAGGTACTTGTCCGTCGAAATAAGCCTGGTTGTATCCGTAAAAGCCCAGTTGCTGGAGCGTCTGTGAGGCGCATTGAGCACGCAGACGCGGATGGGAAGCTGTGGCCGTGGATGTTGGGGGCGGCGCTATGCAAGAGGGTAAGGTAGGTACTCCGTACGGTACGGTGTACTCCGTTCGTAACTTCGTACCGGCTGCGGTTCGCAAGCGGGACGAAAAAAGAAGGCCAACCTGGAGACCTCATGGACCTGGTGGACGTGGTAAGGTGCCGCGTCAGTTCAATCACGGTACTATTCGTGGTATTATTTCAACGCCACATTGTAGTACGTCGGCCGCTGGTGATGAGTATATTGGCTTGACGGGCCAAACACGTCGAATGCGAGGGCTGCCCTAGAGGAACCAAAGACAGCGATCGGGGGTGGCCTCGTCATCCTCTGGCCGGCGCTGGACCTCAAAGGGGAAAGGCTCGAGCTGCCAGAGCTTCGAAACCCAAAACTCGGGCGTTGGTTGCATTTGGTGGAACGACCAGGTCTGGAGTTATGCAGGGCGACTGGAGAATGAGACCCAGACCTAGATCCCGGCCGAGGCGACGCGCAAGGGTCCATTGACGGCCGAGCACTGAGACGACGACGTCGCGGCTTTTCCGCGAAGACGGTAGGTGCTAGCTACCGAGTAAGAAGGTGTCTTGAGCTGATGCTGCCAATGATCATTCAGAGATTCAGAGGTGTAGCTGCTGTAAAACAAGAGTCCGGCCTGGCCTCGACTAGACTGTTGTAGTATCCGGGCCGTTGTATGACTACCGCTATGTGCGTGTGCGTGTTCACCAAGTGTTGTGACCATGCCTTAAAAGATCCGAAGAAGCTCCCCCTGTCCTATTCAGTTCTGTCTTGGTCTCTGGCATCGACGACAACATCAGCCGGCAGATGGCATCGCAAGAGGTCGGATGGATAACCTTGGAGTATCCAGGACACACATATACGGATACACACACCGGCCAAACCCCATTTTGAAGCAGTCTGAGGCTGAGAATAGCGGGCAACATCATCAGACGATGCTAACCGATGCTTCACAATCCTCCGCTGTTGAAGAGGGCGAGGCTTCTTGGTGTAGGTATGTATATAATTGTGGGCCAGCATGTCATATCCCGCACGCGCACGCGTCTCTCCAGAGAAAGATCCCGAGCCGACAAATTCAGCCCGTCTAGTGGATAACGTAGGTAAGCAGATGGAGCCATTCATATGGAAGTAATCGGACATCCTTGCAGTCGCTCGAAACAGATGATGGACATGTTGCCAATGCTGGCCACGACCCCCGTTGACCAAAGTCCCGATGCGAATTGGTTTGAGACGGGCAGAAGGCATGATATCCGTATGCTGCATTGCCATTTCCAGTCGTGGCCTCTTTATCCATCTCTGGACCTCGTGGGCGGCCTTGTTCGGAGCACTCCGGCTGTCCCTTTTTTTTTTTTTTTTTTTTTTTTGCTCAAAGGCAATCGATGTCCAAGATCTTGGTAGGGGCGAGTCATCGATTTGCGCTGCCGATCGGGTCGGCTCAAACACTGGACAAAAAGTCAATTGACCCCGTTCATTATGACTCGCGACGAACGTGACGAAATGCCTAGCCGGCTTGGCCAGACAAAACTGCGGTGGTCTTCCTGCCTATTCACAGTGACAACTGACTTGACGGGATGGACCGGATTCACCGCCGCACAGGATGAGATCGCAAGTCTCCATGAGGATGCGTCTTGACCAGGAAAAGCAAATTGACGAGTGGAGTGAGGAATCGAGCGGCGGAAACTTCCTCTCCGCTCGCCGTGGACGGAGAAGCAAAGCCCTGCATCTATGCAGCTCGGTGCAGCGTGATGGGATGGATAATGACTTGCCAGGCGCAGGAGCTGGCGCAAGACGGTGCTGCGACTGCGGTTACCTAGTATCCGCAGATAAGGTACAGATACCTTTTTGTCCTTGCTGGTGTCCTAGGTAGTTGAGGTACTGGGATACTTGAAAAGTTGAAAATGTTGTGCACGCGATGGGCGGAAACTGTAGCACACAAAGTAGACATCGGGGACTCGGCGGCCCAGGGATCCCCGTAGCGGCCCCAGCAGTTCCCCATGAGAAAACATCAGTGACCAGTAACCAGACTTCCAAGGGACTCCAGACGCGGAGTTCAGAGAGGCACAGGTGACAGGGTGGTGCTCGTCAGTCGTCCAGAGTCCAGAGTCCGGTGCCAAGTGGAGGGAAGAGACATGTTGAGTACTCCGTGCCTCAGGTGGGATTCGGGCGGTTGATGAAAACAGAAGATGCAGACGGGATGCAGATGGCATGTAGACTCTAGACATTATCAGAAGATTAGATACTCAAAGATGTTGATTGGACCATTGCAATATGGAAGGTAGGTACCTTATGAGAATGTGATGCACAATAGAAGGGATGGAAGGAAGCCACTGACTGTCCTGCCTTCCGTCTTGTCTGATTCATCTGATGGAGAGGGTAGGTAGGCACCTTAGGTAGGTGCACTCTGCAGTGAGGTGCTGCGCTGCGCTGCACAGCTGCAGATGTGTGCAAGTGCTGCGTAGAAAACATCGGCACGGGATTGAACAGGAGCGTTACGTAGGCCCTAATATCCGTGCCATCCCTGAGCCTGTTCGGTTGTCCCGAAAAGGCTTGGTGCCATGGTTCTCCCCGATGGAGACCCGCTCAGGGGTGGAGAGCTCACTCATCCTCTATTGATAGATCTCCCCCAGTAATTTTGATAATGGAACCCTTCACCATAGCAATTACGCACCACGCAATTCCTCATCCAAAAGCACGTCGCTCAAAATCATCTTGGGTCGTGACACTAGACACAAGTCCAAGGTACCCTGCCTTCCTGTTCGTTTGTACACCACCTTAGGGTCTTTAGCGCCGCGGTACTTGTCTGCGCTAGCTAGACCTTAGCAAGGTTAAGTACACCATCTCCATTCTGGTGGCTTGAGTACGTACACTCACTAGCGCACGCTTAGAAGGTGCCTTCCTCAGGTACATTGCGCCGCACATACTACCTACGTCTCTACCTACCGTAGGCAAGATTGTAAAGTAGGTACGTACTCCTGTCGGCGGAGAGGCCCCACACCATCCTCCCTCACCCTGCATCTGATTGCTGCATCTCTGATTCCACGTCGTCTCCTCCACTTGCGCCAACACTGCGGGCGGAATTTGACCACACTTCTTCTTCTGCTCTTGGTCTCGACTATCATCAACTCGTCCACTCATTGGCGCGCACTACTCCAGACACTCACAACTTCAGATGACAGCCCGCCGTGTCTGGTGTGTTTGCTGCTTCTGCGGTCTGCCAGTCGCAGGATGACGAAAGCCTGCCTGCCCCTCCCCTCCCTTTAAGCCTCGTCAAACATATCCCGGCAACCCTAATATCTTGACCGTCGATGGACCCGTGGCATGAAGCTTGAATTCTGCCTTACCTGACGGGGCATCTGGGGCAAGCTGAACAAAAGCAAACGCGTCTTTATTCGCATGGCTCCATCACCTATAGGGCCATGACGAGTTCACGTTGTTTCAACTTTTAACCCGCCGGCGCCAACGACCAGGGCCCAAAGATGGAAACATGGTAAACTTCAACCGACGATGCCCATGCCCTTACTCTATTTGTTGTAAGTCAGATGGGAGAAACGTCATGTTGAAACACTCCTTACACTAATCACCATAGTACGAGCCCATGAAATTGGTCCATCGCCTGGCCATACACAAAAACCGTGTGGAGGAAGAGAAGAATGAGGCATCACGGAGCGACTGGCGCATGCAAGTCCACTCCTCTGAGATCCATCGTTGTATACCGCTCAACTGGTCAACCCTCGCCTACCCGCCTCGGCCCTCACATCCGACATCTCTGGAATCTGGGACTCTAACATCATCCAAGCCTGCCTTGTCGACCTCGGCCCACGAACGAAGAGATAACGGCTCTGCATGTCGTTGACACATTCCAGGAACGGCACTCTCCGAGCGTCGTAGATGCATATGCAGTGCACTGCCCGCAAGCGAGGCTGGCGGGATCCGTCAAGGACCACATGAGCGGCCTCTAGAGGCTTTTCTTTTGCCCGGCCTCCACGGTCGAGAAGCATTACTATGGAGTGTTTACTGACGGTTGTCTAGTGTCCACGGCAACATATCCCTTCACAGATATTGCGTGGGGAGCGCGTTGCGCGTCTCCTAGACGAGACATGCGGCATGCCAGGGTCTCTCCGCCGGCTCTGGCACACTAGCCGACTAGTGTACTACCTCTTTTTTACTTTTTCAACCCCATATTAAGCACCAGCCACACTTTCTCACCACGTAAGACTGGCACACCGTGGATCATAACCCGGAGCTGATGGCCGAAAACGGCACTTTGGGTCCTATGCTTAGTTCATGCGGCACAAACTCTTCTCCTCTCTTTGAGGCTCTTTCCAGCAAGGCTTGGACCTGTTCAAGGACGGGAAACCTTTTACAACTGATCTTACGCGTGCGATGGTGGCGGGTTTGGGCGGGGCGGAACTCGGCTGGACTGCATTGTAAACTTCCATGTAGTCCATGATTCCCAGTTAAGATGATCAGCATCTTCATCATCATCATCATCAAGCACCAGCACACTTTTGGTGTCTGACGTCTGTTCGCAAGCGCGCAGGACGAACATGTCTCGACTTTCGAGGTCTTCCCTGCTTGCTTGCTTGCTTGCCTGTCACCTTGCCTCCGTCTCTTCTCTCTTCTCCGTCAGACTCCGTGTGAACAAAGTATGCAAAGACGGACACTTGCGTACGTCTCATCTCGGAGGTTGTCGCATCTGTCATCTGTCCCTTTTTACTCCCTCGTTGGCTCCTTCACTAGCGTTCCTGCTAGAACCCACCAATTGGTTTTCCTCTGGTCATGTTTCGGTCGCCCATGTCCAAAGGCTTGGCAAAAGGCTTGTTGGTGGAACTTGGCCCCTTGAAATCGAATACCCCTTAGTCGCGGATAAGACAGTGGCCGCTGCGGCTAAATCCTTGTCTGTTCCCATTCCTCTGCGTGCCAAGTCTGTCCTCATTTACCCTAGTGCTCAAATTCGGTGAGCAGGGTTGGGGCCTGATAATCTCCTGCTTAGGCCCGTCGCCTATCCCCGTCCGTCCTTTGGCTCTTGGGATGTGCCATCCAGTGTTCCTGGCGGCCCTCACGCACCATCCATCACTGCGACTCCACGCGTCGGCCTCTCCAAGGTATCACCAGGTACTAGGTAGTGAGTGTATCCGTACACACAGACTACCGAAAGGTAGCTGTTGTCGTTCTCGAGAGAGCTGCGACGCCAGGTTCAGACTTTGCATCAGTCACCCTTCAAACTCGTTCGCGACTTGCTGTTCCCCCGCTATTGTTCTTTGTTCCTCGTCTGCGGCGACTCTCTACTGGTTATCTCTTCTTTTTCATCTTCTCAGAGATCATACCAACGAATCATCTGTGTTTGACATTGTTGAAAAAGAAGCCCCATGTTTCCCCACAGAATCCAATCAACGACGGGCTACCGAGACAGTAAAGCTTAAACCTTTTGCCGTCTCTCTTCTCTCTGCAAAGTGCTAGGTAGTAGTAGCAGTGAACCACGTCCGCGCCCGCCTATACCTCCCTTTTGATGCAACCACGTTGAACGATCGACGCGGCAGATACGCCTGGACTCGACCGTTTCATCGATCGGGCTCGTCTTTTTCAAGCAGGGGGAGTAGCCGCTTCTCACTACTCCCCAACTTCTTGGAACGGAATTCCGGACGACTCCGTTCACCCGGCTTGCAAACAGTGCGCCGTGACTTCTCTAGAAGACTCCCTCTGGAGAAAGGGCCCCATAACCTTCCAGAGATCCCGAGCCGAGGGCAGACAAACTGCATCGTCAGAATCGTCAGAACACGGGGGGCTCTCGACACAAATCCAGTAATGGATAGCAACACAAGACATGTAGCGGAGGAAACAACGCGGGCGAGGACGTTGGGAAACGTTCGTTTAAGGCATCCAGAGACCAACGAGATCATATTGATCCCGACGCCATCAGCAGATCCAAACGACCCCTTAAACTGGTAGGTACTGGACTGGCGACCTAGATCGTCAAAGAAGCCAGGGATTTTCAGCTGACTCGCTTAGGCCACAATGGTACAAGTACTACATGGCGGGGTTGATATGCTTCGCCATGATGATGTGTAATTTTCTGGCAGCGGGTATGCTCGAATCCATCGTCTCCAGAGTACTCTAGAAGACGACCGGCTAACGGACGTCGTTGCAGGACCCTCGATCGCGTTGCTAGATACAGCCTTGGAGTTCTTCCCGGCAGCCGCCACCGATACTGATGTTCTCAGTCTCGCGATCGCCAGAACTGCTTACTTCTTCACGACAACCGCCCTGCTCCAGGGGGTGGGCAACTTCTTCTGGGTTCCGCTCGCCAACAAGTTTGGCCGACGGCCAGTCTACGTTGCGAGCTACTCCATCTACTTTGCATGCACAATATGGCTCATTTTTGATCACTCGTACGGCGGCTTCTTGGCCGGCCGGATCCTGATGGGATTTGGCGCTGGAGCCGCGGAGACGATCGCGCCCATCTCCATCGCTGACGTTTTCTTTCTGCACGAAAGAGGAACCATCATGGCGTGAGTGCTTGTTCTGGCAGAGAAGCAGGCTGGCAGCTCGCTAACGTTAGTGATACAGACTCTATACCGCGTTCCTTTCTGCGGGCGTCGGCTTTGGTGTGGTCATTTCAGGGTAAGTGATGGGGAAAGCGTCCCAGAGCCTGCCGGAAAATTTCTAACCGTCGTGTGTTCTGGCAGTCTAATCACCATCAACCATAACTGGAGAGTCATCTACCAAGTTTCTGCCGCTTTGGTCGGCGTTGTGCTCCTACTGGCATTCTTCACCTTCCCCGAGACCGCATACGAGAGAGACGAAGCGAGTGCTTGGAACCGCCTGGGTTCGATAGACGGGAGCAAACCCGGGTCGGTGAGGTCCGAAGGCGAGCTGCCCGCTCGTCCGCTAGGAGCTTCGACGACGACGACAAGACGCTCAAAGCAATCATACCTTTCTTCGCTGAAAATCTTCAACAAGACGCTGACGCAGGAGAGCCTCCTGAAGCTCGCGCTGCGACCCCTGGGCCTGATACTCTTGCCGCCGGTCCTCTGGGCGGCGCTGGTGCAGGCCGTGACGGTCGGTTTCCTCGTCGCTGTGTCTTCCAATGCTGGTTCCGCCTTCTACACGGCGTACGGATTCGATTCGTGGCAGATTGGCCTCTGCTTCATTGCCGGCATCCTCGGTGCGTTGCTCGGTATCCCGGCGGGCGGGCATCTTGGCGACATGATTGCGGATTGGTTTACCAGACGAAACGGCGGGATGCGGGATCCGGAGATGCGACTGCCTGGCATGGCCATCAGTATGGTTACGACTCCGTTGGCTCTCGTTCTCTACGGCGTCGGCATCGATAGCCAGCTGCACTGGATCTGTCCCACCATCGGCCTTGGACTTCGTACGTTGCCTTCCCCCCTCTCTCCTCTCCTCTCCTACCCGTCCCACCCCTCCATGCTCTTTTGTCGAAACGACGGTGTTTCTGATCATCCCATCTACAGTTACCTTCTCCATCTCCCAAGGAACGAACATCTGTCTCGTGTACGTGATTGATGCCTACCGGCCCGTCGCCGGCGAAATCACCTTGGCCGTCATGGGCTTCAAGTGTAAGTGGGCGTCCGACTCTTGGCATCCCTTCTTTTTGTCCGGCATGTAAAGCTGACTCTGGTCCTTGTTTTGCTGCAGCACTCTTCGGCTTCTTGTTGTCCTTCTACACCAATACCTGGGTCGAAAAGGCAGGGTACGACAATGCCTTTGGGGCCATGGCGGGCATCGCATCTGCCGTCTTGGTCCTGTGGGTGCCGTTATTCGTCTGGGGCAAGGCGATACGACACGAGTCGTGGAAGTGGCCGATCATCCGGTATATCCATTGGAACGAAGACAGGGAGGTAGGGGAATAAGAAAAGAGACGATGGAGAGAGGAGGAGAGAGAGAAAGAGAAGAGACCGGACGAAGTTGTAGTTTTCTTGTACCCATCCCACACCGATACCTTCACGGCAGCACACGTATAGCAAGGCGTTTCGGTACTTATAAGAATTGAGTTTTCATATTATGACGGGAAAAGAAGAGCACAGCAAAAATAAGAGGAAGGGCAAGCGCCTTTTACAAGCTTTAAGGTTCCTCCTTCGTTCTTTTTTTTTTCTATCCGTAATTCCTCCTGGTCTTGCTTTGGCCTCCCCCCATTCGTTGCGCCAATACGCAAGCCCAGGGCGTGCCCAGCCCACCTTGGCTCTTCGGGATGTGGGAGGAGCTGGGTCCCTCATTCCCGACACCAGCGCCGCCCAGGCAAGCGGGGTGGGGGGGGCCAAGCAAGGCCGCGGACAGGTTTAACGACATCTCTCTCGCCCAATCTCAGCTCTGAGCAGCTCGCAACAGCCCCGTTCCTGGACCCCTTGAACAGGCCATTTCATACAGAATTTTGATCATACTTTCTTGTGTTTTCCTTGAAAATAACTTGCTCAGTGGTCCTCAGTGGCTCGCTTCAACTAATCTGGCTGCCTAGCCAAAGGTGGTGACCGTTTTATTTTTTTTTCTTTCTGCCCTTTTGGACCCTGAGTCAATGATGAGTAAAACTTTATCATCATCCCTAGTTGTTGCTTGGCTGGCTTTCACGGGCGACGGGGTGTGGGCTATTAGTACCCATGTATCCGTATGTGCCAGGCTCTGTCCCAGACTCTCTCTCAGGCTTTCTCTCTCTGTGACCTCTGTTTCTCTCCCTCGTGACCTCGTCTTCTCTTAAAGAGGAATCCATACTCCGTCCAGATATTCGTGGACCGTACTCCGTAAACCCCCCTTCCCGCTCGCTCGCTCTCTCTCACTCAAATACTGAGCCCCCCGTCAATGACGGCGTTAGCGCCGGTGACGCTCCTGCTCCTGGCGAAGCACAGCACCTGGTCGGCCACGTCGTCGACCGTGGCGAGGCGCTTGAGCGGCGTCCTGTCCCGGGCGGCCTGTTGTTTCTCTTGCGGGAACTGTAGGCCCCATTCCTATACACGCGGAACGGTGGGTATGCAGTGAGCATGTCTGTTTCTGTCTTTTCACGGATGTGTCTTGCTGTGATATGGATACACAGACTAAGGGGAGGGGGGGTAGGTATGAGGATAGGGTGATGGGGAAGTGAGAGGGAAAGGGAAGGGGAAGGGGGCGAATTGTGTAACATACCGTCAACATGAGGCCCGGAGAGACGCTGTTTACTCTTATTCTCGGGCCCGCTGCTAAGGCGAGGCCTTTTACGAGGTGGATCTGGGCTGCTTTCGTCACGGCGTAGGCCTATGTTGTTTTTGCATATCGTGTTAGAGAATCTGCCTTGCCTTGCCTTGCTTGCTTACTGCGCCCATTCGATATTGGGCAGCAGAGATGGCGAGGACCAGGAGAAAGATGGAGAGAAATGAGATTGCAAAGAAAGAATGTTTTACCAGTGAACTCCCGCTGACTTTGACACCGGCCAGCGACGCCGTCGTGACGAACGCGCCCTCCGCCTCGTCGAGGTACGGCCGCGCGGCGTGCATGAGGAACAGGTGCGACTTCACATTCATGTTGAAGCAGCGGTCCCAGTCGTCCTCGTCGACGTTGTCGTCGAGGTCCGCGATGTTGCGGAGCCTCGTCCAGCCGCCGTTGGAGAAGAGGACGTCGAGGCGGCCGCCGAGGGCGTCGGCCGCGCTCTTGACGAGGGCGGAGGTTTCGGCGCGGGAGGAGAGGTCTGCTTTGATGGCGTGGAAGTGCTGCCTTTGGCCTCCTTCCGTGGAAGAAGGGGAGGTGGACGAGAGGGACTCGAGTTCCTTGACCAGGGCATCCGCGCGGTCGCTGTTGTTCGCGTAGTTTATGACGACGCTGTAGCCGTTGCGGGCGAAGAGTTTGGCTGTCGCGGCGCCGAGGCCTGCGCTGCCTGCTGTGATGAGGGCGGTTGGAATTGGAGACATGGTTTCTGAGAGTGTTCCGGTATTCCTTTTTCCTTTCTTTTCCCTCCTTGTTCCTGTTGGATGTTTTCTCGATCGGCAAAAGTAAGGGGTGATGAGTGCGGTGTGAGTGTGCCAGTGAGCGCGGCCTTGCTCGGTCCCGATGACCTTTGCGTTGGAAAGGAACTCCGGAGCTTTGTATCGGAATTCCGGTGTCGGGGCGGGGTAAGGTCGGGACCAGATTGGGGCCGGCATGCGCACCAAGGAGCCGAAGAAAAGGGCGGGGTAATGATTGCGGCAGAGTGCCTTACGCGGGTGCCGAGGGTTCCATGTGGGTTCGCGCGAGCAGTAGGTTTTTGATCTTATTGTTCCGTTTACCGTGGACTAGATCCGATGGGATGAAGTAGAACAAGGTGAGGCCTGGAAGAGTTTTGGTCAGATTGATATTCCCAATGAGTTGAGTTCAACTCATCCTATGTTTTGCCGTATTCGTAACATGAGCAGCTACAGAGTGCGATGGACAGGTAGGAATTGGATCATATTTGGCACTGGACCTGGAACACACAAATACCCGGTACTATATGCGGCAGATGCATCAGTTACAGAGGCACATATGCTATGACTTTGATTCAATGTCGCTTGGATGTATCCCCCCAATATAGACATATTGGTGTAGGAAGTTGTGGTAAACTACAAGTCACAGTAGCAGCAGCAGCGGCAAGAAGAAAGCCAACGGACCCGCCCCCACCTGAGCCGATCTTTTGCTCGCTCCCCCCCCCCCCCTCCTTGACCGGAAACACTCCCCGACACATCCTTACCGAGAAAGTCTGTCTGTACGACAAACCATTCGGTTTCCAGTTCGACGCTGAAAATGTTTATTACAACCTTTGAATAACGACCGTTGTCACATTCCCCTTGCAAGTTCCCGTGAATGGGCGGAGGGGGGACTACTCGAAGGAGGCTTACCGCTGAGACCTTTGTGCATAAGCTCAGCTGTTCGATTCGTCTCAAGTACTTTCAAAAGAGTTTGTTCGGGACGATTGTTTTCTGCTTCTCTCATGACAGATGGACAAAGCTGTGAGGAACAGGGTTACTAGGTGATCGCATAGTATGGATGATGAGGCTAAACGACGTCCCGCGTATAACACGTCCCCTCCCCCGCCATGGTTCCGGCCTTCCGCCCGTCGGCAGAAAATGCGGGGGAGAATGATGGGGAGGAGCAATCTGCCCAGCCAGTGGTCACCTTTTTCGGTATGGCTTTCGTTCTGATGAGGAAGGGGGCATGATGGCCTACACTAGTTCCCACCAATTCTTGCCCTGTGAGAGCTCGGCGATTGCAAAAAGTCCGGGGTTGCGTTGGCAGCTTCGATGGTGGTTGCAATGGAGACAAGGGAGGGAGGGGCCGAGCTGTCGAAGCCCAGCAGACCGAACGATCGACGCGGTGGCGTAGCGTCGAAGTCCGGGGCGGGAAGCGTTTGAGATGACGGGGAGTGTAAGTCGTACGGTCTTATTCGTTCCCCCGTCAAACATCGGTTATATCTCGTCTCTTTTTTTCTCATAACGCATGGTTGCGGCCCTTTTTTCTTCACATCTCGGCGCTTCGGTCTCTCACTTTCCCATCCACATTACTCGCAGCTCTGACATTCCCCTTAAACAATTCCTCGTCCACAAACAACTGCGAGAGTCAAGTAAAGGTCTTTGTTTCACAATCTGACCACAGAACAACGCACCCTCTTTTCCCTTCTGCACACACGTCCAGTTTGGCACCATGTTGGTCAACGGAGAGGCTCAGCGCCCTAATGGCGTGTACTCGAGTCCCATGGTCCACGAATATCCCCGGCCTCTCAAGATTGCCATTGTAGGCGCCGGCATTGGTGGTTTAAGCACAGCCATCGCACTACGCCGGCAAGGTCACCAAGTTGACGTAAGATGCCCCCTCCCCCCCCCCCCCCAAACCCGTAGCCTCATCACACTCGCCCCATTGCCCCATTCGTGCTGCCCATCGTACTCACGCTTTCAACCGTAGCTTTACGAACAGTCGAGACTCGCCAACGAGACCGGTGCCGCCGTACATCTGGCCCCTAACTCCAACGGTCTCCTGCGGAGATGGGGCATCTACGCCGAGACGTTCGGCGCCAACCCTTCACACCACTTCAAGGAGAGGGACCTGAACAACCAAGGCGGCTTCGACGTCGACATTACAAAGTCCCAGGGTCAATGGCAGCACCCTTGGCAGCTCGTCCACCGCGCCTACCTCCACAACGAGATCCGCAACGTCGCCACGGCTGAGGACGGAGGGGTCACCACGCCTGCCAAGCTTCATGTCGCGTCCAAGGTTGTCGGCGCGGATCCCGAGAAGGGCGAGTTGTCGCTTGAAGACGGGACGACTGTTCAGGCAGATGTCATTCTTGGTGCCGATGGTATTTACGTACGTCAACGAAGGAGCAGAGGTGTAGTACAGCTGGCGATACTGACATTCTCCAAATAGTCCAAGGTCAGGAGATTTGTGACCGGCACCGACTACAAGCTGTTCCGCTCCGGCAAGGCGGCGTTCCGCTTCCTCATCCCCCGCGCCGCCGCCCTCGAGGACCCCGTCACTGCGCCTTTGGTCGACAGGGAGAACTCACTGGGAATTTGGTTTGGTACGGACAGGCGTATTGTGATTTACCCGTGCAACAATAACCAGCTCCTCAACTTTGTTTGCATTCACCCGGATACCGAGTCTCAGGCAAACGCAAGCGACGGTAAGTCTCTTTCACCCCCCATCGTACAGCAACAAGACTGATGAAGCATTAGAATGGAACAAGAAGGGCTCCATCGAACAACTACTCAAGGTTTACAAGGACTTTGATCCTGCTGTGTTGCAGCTGATAAAGAAGGTTAATCCCGATGAAGTCAACGTATGGCAGTTGTTGGATATGGAGGCTATGCCGACGTGGGTGAATGGCAAGCTCGCCCTTTTGGGTGACGCCGCGCACCCTTTTACACCTCGTAAGTCTCGTCTTACCGAGACGATCCACCTCAAGATACTAACAGAGCCGTAGATCAGGGGCAAGGCGCAGGCCAGGCTATGGAAGACGGAGCAGCGTTAGCAGTCGTTCTACCCAAGGGCACATCGCCCGACGAAGTCCCTGAGCGTTTACGTCTGTACGAAAAGATCCGCATGGAGCGCGCGCACAAGATCCAAGAGTTCTCTCGTCAAGCCGGCAAGGATAGAATACCAGGCCAACCACCCGCCATCAAAAGTTCGTGAAAGCCCCCCCCCCCCCCTCTCTCTCTCTCTCACACACACACACACACACACATACACCCGCTGGCAAATCAACTAACACGACGAAAAACAGTGATGAACTACACAAACTACAACTTTGGCCACGACGAGCACGACCACGCGACAAAGATCTTCAACAAGTACCTCTGGTCCAAGAAGCAGGACATGTACTGGCGCATGCCCATCGGCTTCGGTCCCTTCCCGGGTCCCCGACAAGACTTCTTCGGCCGCCGGCAGCCGTCCGAGCTCGAGCGCACCTTCAAGACAATGTCAATCAAGTTCCTCACGTCGCGCACGCTACTCGAGACCATCCTCCCCACGGACTCGTTCCGCTTCAAGGAACCGGGCACCGTCTGCGCCGCCTCGCTCTCCGTCACCCAGCTCAACAACATGTCCTGGCTCGGCGGCGGCGGCTACAACCATCTGGGTCTGTACATCCACGGCATCGAGTACGTCAAGCGCGACAGCACCGCCATCAGCGGCACCCACCTGTCTGTCTTGTTCGAGTCCCTGACGGATCCCATCGTATCGGGCCGCGAGGAGCTCGGCATGCCGAAGCTGTTCTGCGACATTGACCTCGAGCACCACGCCACGGCAGCGCGCGTCCGTGCCTCGTGGCGGGGCGCCACCTTTGCCGACATCTCGCTCAAGAACCTGCGCCGCGACGAGCCCGAGACGGAGCACGGCACCATCGGCGGCGAGGCGGACTACGGGATCCTGACGTACCGGTATATCCCCTCGGTCGGGCAGCCGGGCAAGGCCGACGCCGAGTACGCGTGCGTGGTGCCGCACGAGGAGGAGGCCAAGGACGTCCCCGCCACGGTGCACGCCGTGTCTAGGGCGTCTGCGGCGGACGTCTCGGTCAAGATGGATGGTCATGATTGGGAGAAGCTGCCGACGCTGCATCACGTTGCCAAGTTCCTGGCTGAGATGCCCATCTATGAGGTTGTGGGTGCCAAAGTCGTTGAGGGGACGGGCGTGCCGAATGTTTCTGCGGCTCGGAGGATAGAGTAGGGCAGTTTCGGAAGTCTAGGAGCAAGGGGAAGAGATTGTCATATCATCAGATCTCATGATGGAGGCATTGTGTATACTTTTTTCTCGTAGTGGCATCCAGGCTTTGGGCCTGGTGAATACCCAACATTGTACTTTGATAACCAAAACCCATAACATATTTGGACATGTCCAAGATGAAGACGCTGACCATGCGCATCTTTCTGCAATCCCGCTTTCAAAAGATTATACAGTATCCTTCTTCCTATCAACCTTGTGAAGTTGAATTATTCCACCTCATCTTCCCTCAGCCCCCTCCCCAAATATACCCGGCTCTTACAGTCGTCCGTGAGCCCGAACCCAAGATCTCAGATCAACGATGCATAGGAACCTTCAAGATCATGTGCAGAGAACAAACCTTCTACCCCAGCTTTCTGGTGGCCTTGTTTCTACCTCAGATGCATAGCCGTACAAAACCAACACTTGTGAAGAGATTACAGTTTCATAGCGCCCGCCGTAGCTCCTCCCACACCCGTCCCCGCACAACCCACCTCCTCTCGACGTCCCGGCCCCACCTCCACTTTCCGCCCACTCGCTCCGGCATGGCAGATGGGTGCGAGAAGCTGGCAAAGCTCAAAGCCCGTACGACGCCGGAATGCCGACACGGCAACTACTTTCAAACATGGTGGTCGAGGAGGGGGAGAGGGGGTGGGATGGCGCGGGGAAAGGGAATGATCAACGGGATGTTACAGAAGTCTACTTT